TAGCGCAGAGTCTCCTTGGCAATAACAGACGAAGGATGTTTCCAAAGCTCAGCTAAGGCTAAAAAAGCAGGGGAACTCCTAAGCAAAACACCCAAAGTAACTTACTCAGGACGTCAATGAAGCTCTGGTGATTTATTATGAAGAGGCACTGTTTTTTAAAATCGTAGGTATCCAGGCCGTATATGCGTGGTTGAAGGCCCATACACCATCGAGCACACCGGAAGACATTAACAAATTCGCTGAAAGTTATAGGGAGTTGACAAAAAGGCGAACAAAAAATTACCAGCTATTGGAATAGGAGGGTCCCTTGAACACAAAACAGACCAGATAGAACAACGAACCGAAAAACATGACAATTCCATAGACAGTAAAGGCAAGGAAATAGGGTAATGTTGCGCGATATTTCGGGACGACGAGGACTACAACAAGAGCCACCAAAAAGAGATACCAGAGTATTGTTCCAAGCATCGTCTCAACGAATCTGAAGGACAAAAACGGAAAGGCTTAATCTTAGCGAGGAAATAACAACTTTTAGAGTAAAAACATTTGAACGAGAAAATGAAATTAGGCATCGGGATTTAAACGCACGAATGGCATAAAATTATCTTGCACTTGTCAGAAGATGTAGAAAATGAGGATGCCTGGATATGCTACAAATGATACTACTAGAACAGCTCAGGTCTAGACCCCTCATCTAAACGGCAGCATGGATAACCACAATAATTTTCAGTCAATCGAAGCAGGGGAAGGAAAATCCTCAGTAGGCGCAAGCCCTAAGCTGACAGACAATATACTCCGTAGTTTACAAAGACAGAAATGTCAACCCCTCCAGGATCACCGCCACAATGGAAGATTTAAAAAGCGGAGACAATAAAATAAATTCCGACAGGTCGGTTCGTGAGTATAAGTAGGTTGTCAGAGGATTTTGCCAGTTCTTCCCTCAAGGTTGATAAAAGATGTACAGTTAATTGGATTCATGCGATCCGTGAAGGGTACAAAAACGAGAACAGAATATGGCCAAATGAAATGGATGAGTTTGGCAACAAACTAACTTTGGTTGGAATTCAGGTAGTTGAACGTAGGAGGAACAACTGATGCATCACTGCGCCCCAAATAGTAACTCACTTACGTCGAAAATGGCAAGCAGATGGCTTCCAAACTTATCGGACATTTTGTTCGGAAGTTACGCGTAGAGAATCGCACCCGCTTACCCACGCCCAACTCGACACAATTTTCAAATTGGAAATGATTCAATCAGCAGCAGGTACATACTATCCATCGAGCCTGAGACGCAGTAAAGAGCAAGGACTGGATTCTATGCACACATGCAGTATTACATTCCTTGACCTTACTTTATCTAGCGTTCGTGCGTAGTCTGCACAATGCTAGTTTTAGGACAAATGCCAAAAATGCTTATGAAATCTTCAAGGCAGACAGACTCACAAGTCCTACGTAGCATGGCTCCGTTGAAGGATGACTATGTCTAGGGGTTACATGATACGCAGTAATTTCAGCACAGATAATAGCTAAAAGACCAGACTCGTGTTTGGCCAATATTTTGCCGCTGCATGACGCGACTGTGGGGGCCTCACAGCGGTTTTTGCGTGCTTTCTGGTAGAACCACAGTTCAGAAATTGATGTGCAATTTCCTCGAGAATTAAGTTATGGAGAGGACCAGGTTTCTCTGAGGTCTCTATTATAGGAATCCTGAGTAGGGGGCTAAACAGATCTAAGCCATTGGATGTTTATGTAAACGTCTTGTAGTTTAGAAAAGAAGGAAGATAAGTGGATTGGCAATTTTCCTAAACACAAATCTTTCCGCACGGGTGCTCGAGACGCCGCCTTATTTGAGTTTTCTATCAATAGATATGTCAAGGGTCGATGCCCAGGCCAGAGATTATTATTTTTTACAGAAACGAGC